GATATGGACATCTTTGGGTGGGGGGGCAGTCATGATTCTCTCTGCTGGGTGGGGGGGCAGTCATGATTCTCTCTGCTGCAGTACTGACGTAGTATCTTGCATACGGTAGATGTGCTTATCAACTGTCATAAATGTGTGGTGAATGCCGTATAAGAATATTCACGTATAGTGATACGGAGCATCAGCCAGCTGTTTTTTGCTGGTTCCTCAGACTTAAATTTCAGAAGCTTTATGGCAGAAATCTTAAGCAAAACCTGAAGAATTTTTCTTTACTTTCAATTTTGGTTTAAAAAGAAAATACTTGTGATTTTCTTCATTTAGAAAATAAATGCCTTTAGAAAATAGCACTTGATAGCATTAGTTTATTTTTAGGGCCTTTAGCAAAGTCTTGATTTGTTCTGAGTTGGTAGGAACTCTGATAGTTGATTTGCAACAAAGTGTTCTCCAGCTTTTCAAAAGGGCTTTTCAGCTCTTCCCAGATAAACTTGTAGTCACACCTCCATTTATTTGTCTTACCCTTGTTTACTACATTTGTCCCATTTTTATAAGACTTCCACTTAGGCTCCCTGGGTACCAGGAACGGGGGGTGTCATGTGACTGCGAGTATCTCCAGATGTCTGTGATCTTCAGTACAGTTGTTGTTCAGGGTAGCAGGGTCTTTCTTAATGAATCAAAAAGACTGAGTTTGGGGCCGGCCCCGTGGCATGGCGGTTAAGTGCGTGCGTTCCGCTGCTGGCAGCCGGGGTTCGGATCCCGGGCGCACACCAATGCACCGCTTCTCCGGCCATGCTGAGGCCGCATCCCACATACAGCAACTAGAAGGATGTGCACCTATGACATACAACTATCTACTGGGGCTTTGGGGGAAGAAAAGGAGGAGGATTGGCAATAGATGTTAGCTCAGGGCCGGTCTTCCTCAGCAAAAATAAAGAGGAGGATTAGCATGGATGTTAGCTCAGGGCTGATGTTCCTCACAAAAAAAAAAAAAAGACTGAGTTTGTATCTGAAATGTAGTAAATTTTTCGATATTGAAAAATTATAGTTGAATTTTATTTGGAACTTTAGTTGTATTATAGCTGAAAAGTAAATTGTATCAAAAGTGTATTAAAAGTCTAAACTAGAAAACAAGTTTTTGTGTAATCTTAAAATTCAGAATTGCAAGAACAGACTTTTTTGGAAAAGGGTTAAAGTAATACTGTCCCTTATCAGTAGGAGGCGCTGTTGTTCTTTTGTGGTTTTATATTAATATTGCGTTCTTTTAAGTTATTTAAAACTTTTATTCTTATTTGATGAGACCATTGTGAATTTTTATTATTTGTGCCTTAACATTTTTTTTTTTTTTTTAAGGTTTTATTTATTTATTTTTTCCCCCCAAAGCCCCAGTAGATAGTTGTGTGTCATAGCTGCACATCCTTCTAGTTGCTGTATGTGGGACGCGGCCTCAGCATGGCCGGAGAAGCAGCGCGCCGGTGGGAGCCCGGGATCCGAACTCGGGTCGCCAGCAGTGGAGCGCGCTCACTTAACCACCAAGCCACAGGGCCGGCCCTGTGCCTTAACATTTTTTAAAGCCTTTTGCTAGCTTGTCAATTAAGGTGATTAAAATCTGACTTAAATTTTTTCTTTTAACTTTTTTGACATAATTTCAGTGTCACAGAAAAGTTGTAAGAATAGTACGAAGAATTTCACATACCTAGATTCTGCAGATGTTGACATTTACTTCATTTGCCTTATCCTTCTCTTTCTATACATACATATACTATATGTAATTTTTCCTAAACCGTTTGATAGTAAGTTGTGGATGATTCTCTTTGACCCTTAAGTACTTCAGTGCACATTTGCTAAAAAACGACATTGTCTCACGTTAACTACGGCACAGTTACCAAAATCAGGACGTTAACTGTGGTTCAGTCCTGTTATTTTAGATGGTGTTCACATTTCGCCAGTTGCCTCAGTAATTTTCTTTATAGCAAAACGAACAAACAGAACACAGCCATCCTGGCCCATGCGCTGCGTTCAGTTGTTGTGTCTCTTCAGGTTCCTGTAATCGGGACAGATAGTCTTTGTTTCGCTTCGTGACACTGACGTTCATTTTGTAGACCGTCCCTCAGTTTGGGTGTGTGTGACATTTCCTCGTGATCACATTCAGGGTTTGTGCTTTGGTTAAGACGGCGCAGAAGTGGTGTTGTGTTCCTGTGAGTGCATCGTGTCGGGAGGTGTGTGTAGCTGCTGTGCCCCATCATGGTCGTGCTCCCCCTCACTCGCTTAAGCCTTCTCCACGGTGTAGTCACCATCTCCCCTTCGTAGTCAGTGCAGTCTTGTGGGGAGATACCTGAGATGATGTCATATGTTTTTACCCCTCAGACTTGACCCCTAACTTTGGCATCCGTTTGATGATTGTCACCTGAGTCAGTTATTATGTTGATGATGATTGCCAAAAGGTGGTTTTCCAATTCCATCCTTCCTTCTGCATTGACTTGTTAGCTTTCTGTGTGAGGGGGAGCTTTCCCTTCTTTGCAGTTTGTTTGTGAGTTTAAATCAGTCTGGCAACGTGGTCTTACTTCACTCAGTGGGTCGTAGTCCTTGTGCTGTGTATCTTGGTGTGTACACTATGGCAGATTGGACCAGTGGAGCTCCTTTAAGCTAACTCCTAACTTAAATTTTAATGCTTTTATTTTCCCTCTTGTTTCATTAGCAAATCATATAAGCACTATAGCCAAAGATGGCATTTTGGGTATTAAGTTTAGTGAATTATTAAATATTTTTGTTTGTAAAGTCTTTTTAAGTGTTATTAAGTATCTTTCAGGTGAAAGTAATAAAATCTTTTGAATTCTGAATTTCAATTCTCCATAAAATATTATAAGTTTGGGTTTGTATATGATGGTGTATTTGAAGTGCTGATTTTTTTAGAAAGCAAGGTTTTTAGATTCCATCTACAGCATTCAAAAGAAGATTTGGGGAGAATCTTTTTAGTGAGTTGGTATTTAATCTCAACCTCTATTTACCCTCCTCCCATCTACCCTAACCAAGTTTCAGAGGAAGCTGTAAAAGCAGACTTTCTCTCCTAAAATTTAGATAGTCTTTGAAATGTTTTACTTTTAGAAATGTAAATGAAAAGATATTTGTGTCGGGTATTCCGGTAGTCATTTTAGCTTAATTAAAAACTACAATCACATTGTCTTTTGTTAAGTTTTTTATAGCGGAATGTAATTTTCGTTGGATGAGTTGTCTTATGCTTATAATCAGTTTGGCTCAGTTAAATTCAGTAAATAAGCAATGTTGTTTTACTTTAAATTGCAGTTGTACAAATTGTATTTTTTGCCAATTTTACAGCTGAAAAGTACAAGGACTTAGTACCTGATAATACAAAAAATGCTGACAATGCAGCTAAAAATGCAGAGCCGTTGATCAATTTGGATGGTAAGTATATAAATGCATAAAAACTATCATCAACACTTTTGGTGTTTTACTTCCTATAGTGAAGTCTGGGTTTTGGTAAATTAATAGTGCTTCATGCAGATAGCGTTTGCGTTGATGTTTTTATTGTCAGTTACGATATGCTTTCTCCCTCTTGTAGTTGAATATCTAAGTGTTAAAGTGCTATTCTTTGATCTGCTCATAGTAACTTGGGGGTTTTGATTTGTATTTAATCATGGTGGTGGTGGTTTGCCATCCTGGTGTGTAAAATATTTTTTAATCTAATGACACTATGAGACAAGTGGTAAAATTTTTCATTAGGTCTGAGATGTCTTTAAAAAGTAATTCTCCTTTTAAAAGCACGATTCTGATTACTTATATGGTAATATGTTAAATATCCTTTCACTGCCTGTGTCACTGTGACCTGTGATTGACGAGTCCCCTTATGAATTCATAAGCTGCCTGGACACTCGGGAGCTGCTGCCAGGAGAACAAGCTCTGGGGAGACTGTCCACTGAAGGACTGTGTGTTAAAGTTAGTAGCTTTGGGAATAAATGTTAATCAAAAGTGCTGCATAAATGGGCCTTGCAGAGAAAGTCATAGGACAAACCTAATGTGAGTTAATTTAGTTATTTATTGGGTTGTCTAGTTTGGCTGATTAGTGGGAAAACCACTGATCTAATTAATTCACCTGGCTGCTGGTGCCCCTACACCACTCCTGTCAGCAGCAGTTTTAAAAAGTAAGAGATTTGTTGTTACTGGAAAACTAAAAATGTTTTTTGTAAGTTTATATGTACGTCTGTAATTATATGCTTGCAGAGCTGTAAATTTCCAAATTTAATCTTTTGTAGTAAATAATCCTGATTTTAAGGCTGGCGTCATGGCTTTGGCTAACCTCCTTCAGATTCAGCGTCATGACGATTACCTGGTGATGCTCAAGGTCAGCTTCATGTTCTTAGTTCTTGACAGAAACTCTCTCTCTATGTATATATAAGAGAAAAACTCTTCACTTTTAAAAACTATGTTTAATATTTAAATTTATGGTTGAATGACTGCAATGTGGAGGAATGTGGGACGTAAAGGAGATTGCGTGGTTTCATCTGTTTGAGATTGTCTGATAACAACTGCTGTCACAGTGTCTGCTGTGTGCTGAGTCCTTTGCAGAGAGGAGCTCATTCAGTCCTCCCGCAATCCTAGAGGGAGAGGCTAATCTTTTTAGAATATGTACGTAGATGAAGAAACTGAGACTTCGTAGGTAAATAATGTCCAAGATGACACAGAAAGTGGTAGAGCCAGGGTTTTAATCTGGGCACTCTGACCTTGTGTTCCATCCTTCCTGTGTCACCCACCTCTGTTTAGTAAGTCTTTGTAACGTGCTCTGTATTCATTATGGGAGTGGAAAATGCCGAGTTAGTAATGGTGAATTTGGTCAAGAATATACGCTCCAAAAGCTCTTTGAGGAATGAACATTTCTGTCCTCCAAGTCCCCATCCTAGATGGGCCCCTCGGCTCCTACCTCCACTTCAGGAGCCCAGTGGTCTGAGAGGAAGAACATACTCGCACTGAGGAGACGGACGCTGAGAGACTGATAGTGCAGGGGCTGGGGGCCAGCACAGTGTCCCTGCCGGGGTGCTGCTTGAGATGCCAGACTGGGAAGTTACTGATTTAAAGAGCTTTCGCCTACACCTTGTGCATGTAAATTACTTTGCAGTAAATTGAATAAATAAATTTCACTCTTCTCGTAAGAGATTAAGCCATAGTTTATTCTACTTTTTAGAATTATATGTATGCTATTCCTAGATTATTACAGTTCTCTAGGCTGAGTCTGAATGTTAACTCGGATTTTCTTAACTCAGATTGGATGCCAAGAGACAAAAAGTTGTTTTTATTGAAATTTACCTCTTTCAAAGGCTTGTTCCTTACTCAAGCAATTACATAAATTGCTTTGGAACAGTTCTGCAGTGGTCATGTCAGCTTTAATCATAGACTGAGTGAGAGGAGAAATAAGACAGTGCTAGCATATTTGGGGTGCTTTCATTAGACTTTAAAAACTCACTGAGAAAAAGAATAAATTAGCTATAATCAAAAGCTTTATAAAATTCTATCCTAGCTCTTTGTTTGTCCTTTGAATTATTTTAAGAAGCCTTCAAACAATACATGACATCGTGGAAAACGTCTTCACAGGTTTACCAGGTGTGAGAATCAGTATATTAACTGCTTGGCAACAGGACTGTTTAATACATTTGTAATCACTGTAAAAGAATGGTCCAATTATTCTTTTCAAGTGTAGCATGCACTTGTGTCTGCCGTAGTAAGATGCTATGTGATGAAGAAAACAGTGTTCTATGAAAGATCTGAAAACATTTTACTATAAGCGAAAAAAAGCAAGGACGGTGTATGATATGCTACCTTTGTGTCAAAGATTGCACGTGTGTGCGCTTGTATGCCCGAGCATGTTTGTAGTAGAGTCCTTATAGGGATACACAGGATCTGTGATCACGGTGGTCTTCTGGAGGGGTGGCTGAGGCTTGGGTAGGAAGGAGACCTACTTTTTACCATGTATCCTTTATTTTTACAATTTTTTTACCATGCACACGAATTACCTATTCAAAGAATGTTTTTATTTCTTGTGAGCATCATTCCACATTATTAAATATTAAAAGTGAAAACTTTCATTACAATAGCAGTTTTGTTTTTTATTTTTTAATTTATTGGGGAGTTTGTTAATGAACTAAGTCATTCTAACTTCATCAGACTGGGCATCCTTATTCTCTAGAATCAGAGAAGAAAAGGTGATAGCAGCCAGTAAAAAGTAAAAACAATATTTTTGTGTTTCTTAGGCAATTCGCATTTTGGTCCAGGAGCGCCTGACACAGGATGCGGTTGCTAAAGCAAATCAAACAAAAGAGGTATGTATTAGAAATTCTAAATGAATTATTAATGAAAGTTTCTTCTGGTATTGCCATGTATCTGCTTAAGATATCCATTTTATGTTAGAACTGCCCAGAGAAAGGATAGCTTAGTTCAGTGGGATTGAACTTGGTTCTTAAGCAAATCATAGCCAGTCATTTTTGAGTGAGAAATGAACTTCATGTTTATCTCACTTCATACCTTGGAGAAGCTAGCATTAGCGCATCTACAGTCTAGCAGTACAAACCACTGCAGGTACCAGCTAAGTTTACTTAAAAGAATTTACCCTTGTGAAGTTTAGTGGGTTATTTTGACTAATGGCTGGAAAACAGGACAAACCTTCTTTTTGTTACTGATTTTCTTTTTTGACCTAAATTCAGTCCTCGCCCCTTTGTTTCTTCAGAGAAATCTCTTCTCATTTTGTTCTATTTCCTAGCGTAAAACATGAGAGAGTAACTTGCCTGAGGTCACCTAATTGATAAGTGGTTGAGCTCCAGCAGTCTGATTCAAGAGCCTGTGCCCTTAGGGGGATGGGGACAGTGTCCATGTGGAGGTCTGTGTGAGCCAGTTGATCACCCTGTGGCCTACGGTGAATGGGGACGAGGTCCTTGTGGAGGTCTACATGAGCCAGTTGATCACCTGTGCCCTTAGGGTGGATGGAGACAGGGTCCATGTGTGGAGGTCTACATGAGCCAGTTGATCAC